GGCTGGGCGACTTCATCAGCCAGTTCTCTCAGGACTCTGGGATGCATCTCACCAGGTCCCATGGATTTATGTGCATAAGAACTGTAGCCCGTGGGAAGGACTCACGGTGGAGAAGTTCATGGAGGACTGTGTCCTGTGAGAGGGACCCCACGCTGGAGCAGGGGAAAAGTCCTCCCATGAGAAGGAAGAAGTGGCAGACACAGTGTGTGTTAAACTGACCCTAACCCCCATTCCCATCCCCCTGAGCCGCTTGGGGGGAGGAGGTAGAGAAAACCGGAATTGAAGTTGATCCCAGGAAGAAGGGAGGGGTGGGGGGAAGGCATTTTAAGATTCAGCAGTTCTTATCCTCTCCTACTCTGATTTTGATAGGCAATAAATTAAATTAATTTCATAAAGTTGGATCCATTTTGCCCATGACAGTAACTGGCGAATAATCTCTCCCTGTCCTTATCTCCACCCATGAGCCTATTGATCTATTTTTCTCTTCCCCTTTCTGTTGAAGAGGGGAGTGATAGAGTAGCTTTGGTGGGTGCCTGGTGTCCATCCAGGGTCAACCCATCACGCTTGCAAATGCATCTATATGCTTTTCTTCACCCTCAAATTTGCAGCTGCTGCTTCTGATCAGCGCTGTGAGAAGATGTGCTAATGTCATAGGATAAAGGGCTCCAACTTCAGTGGGGAAAACACTTACAGGGTATCAGAAATGCAAAACTTCTCACAGTCTTCTTCCCCCTTAGCCTTTAAAACCCCTGTGATTGCTGAGCACAGCTCACCCCTTTGTCTCTCTCTTCTGTAGGTGGTGGCCATGACCCATTGCTTGTCTTGGATGGTTATGAGGATGATGGTATTCGGCTCAAATGTTTCTCTGGGAAGTTGTTTTCTGAAGTTCAGGTGTTGTGGACAGATGGTAGAGGAGACAATGTCACTGGGAGTCCTCTCACCACTGGCACCACCACTGCTAATACCAGCAGCTCCATCATTCTAAAACCAGGATCTGGAAACTCCATGTCCTGCAAAATAGTTGATAAACTGCTGAAAACATCAACAGAATCTTCAGTTGTCATTGCAGGTGAGTATGAGCTTGTGTCATTGTGTCCTGAGAGGAAGGGACATCTCTGTTTGTGAGATGATGCATGCAGAGCAGATTGCCCCAGAACCTCAGATTTCTGGTGGAATAGAATAAATGGTTTTCACAGAAGTTTTCTTCCATGATACTTCTTGCTCTTTGCACTGAACAACCATGAGGTTCTAAACACTGTCAAAATATTACTAATAAAAACACCCTTCCAAGGGTGTAATGCCATCTGGGGGAAACGAAATCTTGTTAACAAGTGGTGCTTATTCTCACTTGCAAGGATGGAGGATGCTGTTCCATTTCTCTCTGTTTTCTTTTCATTTTCTTCCATTTCTGTTTCTATTACTATAGCATCTAATATCCTTCCCTTCCCTTCCCTTCCCTTCCCTTCCCTTCCCTTCCCTTCCCTTCCCGTCTTCATCTTCGTCTTTGCCTTTGTCTTCGTCTTCGTCTTCGTCTTCGTCTTCGTCTTTGTCTTTGTCTTTGTCTTTGTCTTTGTCTTTGTCTTTGTCTTTGTCTTGCCTTGCCTTGCCTTGTCTTATGCAGTGGTTTACACAAATCTCTGATGGTGCTTTATAAAATAGTCTAGGGATGTAAAAGTCCCAGTGAATGGCTCCTACAGGTGTCTAGGAATGACATTTAGACCCAACTTCCTTTTGTTTCACTTTAGGCATGTAATCAATGTATAAAGTTGATAGATCAAGGAAAGTTATAACTGATCATCTGAAATAATTTGCAGATGTCTTCTTTCCTGCCACTTCCCCTTGGCTGTCAGCATTTGTTGTGATCCTGCTCTTGAGCATATTCCTGGTTATCGCTGCAATTTATAAACTCAGAAGTAAGTTCTGCTCTTAAAGCTAAAGTGACAAATTCAATCCAGCTGGAAGACAGCATCACCATGTCCAGAATTATCTGGGGAGGAGGGTACAGGATTATGAACAACCACCCTCGTGATTCTTCAACCATGGGGTTTTACTGTATTTTTGCTTTCCTTGCATATTTATTTTTAAGCATCTCTTAACTCCTCTAACATCTTGGGGCAGAAATGTGTACAATCACATTTGCCGGTAGGAATTGATTTATTACTATAGTGAAATTACCATGGCAACTTAATCTCATTTTTGAAATCAAACAATTCTTCCCAATAACTGAAATAAGTTAGTGCACCCAAATGTATCCACTGGGTTAATTTATTTGCAAATCATTTTATTGCTTTATAAGATAGTTTCCAACTAAGCCAGTTCTACCACAAAAGATCTGTTGCCAAGACAGTGTAATAAGTCTGATTTTTTTCCCTGCCTTCAGCATCGCTAGTTTTATTCATTAAATTCTGTATGACTGCTCATTATTTTAATGGAAGGTATAAGTATATGCAAAGCAAGATATTTTGAAAATAAGTTGCTTCCTTACCAAACATGACCACCATGTAATATGAAGTTTCATTTGGAAACCTACAAGCAAGAAGCAAGATAACGTTTTCCTTCTCCCTGACTCCTTCTTTTTTCTCTCTCTCTCTCAGAGAACAGTAAGACAACAGCTTCTGAAAGTAAGTCATATCAACACCATATTTAAAAGTCATATTAATCCCCTATTTCATCATGAACATGTTGAAAGTTATGTGCAATCGGAGAAATGTTGGCCAGTGGTATAAGCCATGGGGCTAATTAGCTATGGGGCTAATTAATGTATTCCAAAGGTTGTTTTATGACAGACACTTCAAAAGTTTGGGACTTTGGTTGACACTATCTACCTGGAGGGTCCAGCTAGGGTGCCTTTGGGGAGTGAGTCACCTTAAACACAGCCAACACGGAAAGACTGGTCCACTGCTGATTCATGCTCCTGACAAAAAATGAGGAAATCCTTGTGCCCCATTTAACCTCAGCTTTTCTGCCTGCAGATTTTAAAAGAAGTGGTAAAAAGCTTTTGGCACAAGTCATCTTTTGTGCAAAAACTTTCACAGGTTTTCTTCCCCCCACCCACTATCTAAAAGTTTACCATTTCCACAAAAATTACTTAACAGTTCCCCAAGTCAGCATGTCCAGGCTCCATAGAGCATTAGAATATTTCCTAGTGCCCTTATGCAAAACTGTGATAGAAAGACCCCTCCAACACCCGAAATACCGTATTGGAGAGTGGGTAAAGCAGCCACATGGATGTGATTGAGTGGGCCATAGAAGTGGCAGTGTGTTCTGGCCAGAAGGTATATCCAGAGAAATATTTCTCTGCCAAGTAGATGCAAATTTTTCAATACAAAATTTTGTTTCATGGGAAAACTGGAAATAATTTTGCTAGATGGAGATTTTTTTTTATAGAAACACATTGTAATTTTTTTTTTAGGAAAAAAAAAGAAAATTATATAGCTTCTTATACATCGCTTGTAGCTTTCACCAGCAATGAAGGAAATTGGGATGCAGTTCAGAGGAAGAAACCAACTTATTCCTCTGAATTGTACATGGAGTTTTTTGACTCTCTAATGGCTACAGAAACAATTACAAAAAATTAAGCTTCCTGGACTAAAGGTAGCCTTTGTAAACTTCTGGACAATCCAACAAATTCTGCTTCAAATATACAATGTGCTAGGAAGTTCTTTTCATTGCTTTTTTAAAAATGAAAACCTGATTGTTGGAATCACAGAATTACACAGAATCACAGAATGGCAAGAGTTGGAAGGGACCTTAGAAGATCACCCAGTCCAACCCCCCCTGATCAAACAGGATCACCCAGAGCAGGGGGCACAGGACAGCGTCCAGGTGGGGGTTGAATATCTCCAGAGAAGGAGACTCCACAGCCCCCCTGGGCAGCCTGGGCCAGGGCTCGGGCACCCTCAAGGTAAAGAAGTTCTTCCTCACGTTCAAGTGGAACGTCTTCTGCTTCAGTTTGTGTCCATTGCCCCTTGGCCTGTTGCTGGGCACCACTGAGAAGAGTCTGGCTCTGTCCTCGTGACATCCACCCTTGAGATATTTGTACGTGTTGATGAGGTCCCCTCTCAGTCTTCTCTTCTTCAGGCTGAAGAAGCCCAGCTCCCTCAGCCTTTCCTCATAGGGGAGATGCTCCAGTCCCCTCACCATCCTTGTGCCCTCGTGTACATTTATTTTATTTATTTATTTTATGAATATTGACTTCAGTTTCTGAACAGTTTAGTCTTCAGGATGAGCTTTTTCTTTTTTCTTAGGACTTCTGACTTACCTAGTCTACTTACTACTACTCTACTTAGACTTAGTCTACTTAGAAGAAAAGCAGAATATATCTAGTGGCTGTCTTATGCTGATGGGAAATCTGAAGTAAAGAAAATACCGCTTTGCCATAATTGAGGGAGGGAACTGCTGCCCAGGAGCTAATCTCAGAAATCTGCATACAGACAAAAAAAATGGAATTAAAAAAAAAAAAAATGTGTGGGAACAATTCTATGGAGACTTTTATTAAAATTTGCATTCAGTCATCCCTGAAACCCTCAACCATTTAGCAGAATTTTGCTACCTGTCAGATGATAAGTCAGTATGACCTGCGAAGAAAAAAGGAGTATATACTAATAATAAGGAAGAGAAAAGAAGTTATTTTACTGTGAAGAAGTTTGAATACTGGCACAGGTTGCTCTGGAGAGGTTGCGGAGTCTCCATCCTCGGAGACATTCAAGACCTAACTGGCCAGAGCCCTGGGCCAACCCTGCTTGAGAAGGGTGGGTGGACTAAATGGATCTCCAGAGGGCCCCTTCCAACCTCAGCTATCTGTGAGTCTGTAAACCATGATTTTGGCTTCTGCTCCCTGAATGGCTGTGTTTGAAACAGCAGAGAAAACAAGGCTGGATGTCAAAATATGTTTTATGCTTGATCTCTAGCATTTTTGTTTCAAATGTAGCAACAAACTGGATTAACTTGTGGAAACAAATATTTTGCTTTTGTTTTGGTCAATGCCTGTACTGTACTTGTTTAAACCAAGTCTATAAGAAATAATTTACTTTTGAAGTCTAGTTACCTAGTATTCAAATAAAACCAATAATTTATGCATATGTATGTATACATTCAAATACATACAAACAACTATATATATATATGTATGTATATATAGGCCAATAATATCCTGGCTTGTATCAGGAATAGTGTGGCCAGAAGAACTAGGGAAGTCATCCTGCCCCTGTCCTGGGCACTGGTGAGGCTGCACCTTGAATGCTGGGTTCAGTGTTGGGTCCCTCACTCCTGGAAGGACATGGAGGGGCCTGAGCATGTCCAGAGAAGAGCAACAAAGCTGAGGAGGGGTCTGGAGCCCAAGGCTGATAAGGAGCGGCTGGGGGAGCTGGGGGTGTTCAGCCTGGAGAAGAGGAGGCTGAGGGGAGCCCTTATCGCTCCCTACAACTGCCTGACAGGAGGGGGTAGATGGGGGCGGGGGGGTGTCGGGCTCTGCTCCCAGGGAATGGGCGATGAGACAAGGGGAAAAGGTCTGAAGTTGTGCCAGGGCAGGTTTAGGTTGGATATTGGGAAAAATTTCTTCCTCAAAAGAGTTGTCAGGCACTGGAAGGGGCTGCCCAGGGAAGGGGGCAAGTCCCCATCCCTGGGGGGATTTAAAAGCTGGAGATGAGGTGCTAAGGGCCAGGGCTTAGTGGTGGGATGGCAGGGTTAGGGTAAGGGTTGGGCTTGATGGTCTTAAAGGGCTTTTCCAAACAAAATTATTCTAGGATTCTGTGTTTCTGTACAAATTGTTGTGGCTTAATCACTTCTATGTAGCCTTTAAAGCTGAATGTTAAGTGCTTGAAGAATTATTTGTAGGATATAAAAAAAAATTTCTCTGTTCACAGTAAAAGCACAAAAGGACATTCAAGAAGGTAAGTGTAACAGATTTTTTCAGTGATCTCTATCTATAAGTATCTCTGGTCCTTTAGAACCAGATAAAAGCTGAGCTCAGGAAATATTAGTGACTGGTTTGCTTTTGTAAAATAAAATTTAAAAAAAAATTGCAATACCTTTTATATTGATCATTTGAAGATAATTGATGCCTGCTGCAAAGAAGAGGACAAAGTCCACAGAGAAGTTTGATCTATGGCTGGTAGTTTTTGCTCAGTATTTGAGCTTGCAAATTCTCCTGTTGGTTAATTGATGTAAGTTATCATGCTCTTAATTTGGGATCATGATTTGTGCTGAATTTCAGTGTGTAATAAAAGAAAGAATTAAGCTCTAGGGTCTGAAAAATTAAAAAAAAAAAAAAAAAAGCTTCTGATCTTTTTTACAAAAGTCCTGGTTAGGACTGCATTGTACAAAAGTAGAACAGTGAAGAGTGAGTGAGCTGGGTATGCAAAGAGTGCCACAGATGCAGTAAATGCAGTAAACTTCTTTAAAACTCTCTAGTAGTCCTTGTGGTACCGGAAAGTATGGAGAAACATGAATTATAGCTTTTATAAAGGCCATGTATGATGTTATCTGGACATGGTTCAGTTGCTTCAACAGAAGTACTAAGAACCATCTGCAGAGGGGTGTGCTAATGCCATTCAGTTGCATGGTAATGCAATTCAATCACATCCTAGTTAAAGTACTAGTTCTATTTTTTTTTCCCTTAGTTCAGTCATCTGAAGTACTTCATTTTACCGAGGTGAATTTCTTGACCCTTTTTTTTGTTCCCACCTTAAGGGAAGGTGCCAGCATAATGAAGACAGTAACATTGACTGCCTTATAGCAGGGGAACATCTGGTCGTTTTTATGAAGCTTCATGTTATCTTAGCTCTTGTTATACAGAACACAGTGGAAGAGATAAAAAAAAATCAATGTATTTGTGTTTAAAAAGAAAAAAAAGGAAAGGAAATGGTGTTCTAACATTTAAACATAATCTTTTTCAGAGATAGATCAACTCAACAATGAACTAGGTAAGAATGTATTTTGACTTCTTTGTTATGTTGCTTTTGAGCATCCTTTGGTTAGAAGAATCCTCTATGTTTTAAAAAGCTATAACATCATGAAAGAGGGTCCATACTGAAAACGTACTTCTATTCTAAAGCTAGGGTGTTCAATTAAATCAATTATATTTGGTATTATTATCTTCAGTGCCACCTGGTTTAAGCCATTTTACATATCTAGTCTAAGCTAATAATCTAGACTCTCTACAGGATGGGTATCTTCAGAGGACAGTTTATCCCTCACCTATTCTGAAAGTATATGCCAAGCCTCAGTTCCCTAAATGAAAACATTCTTTAACATTGAAATTCTTGCTCACATTTTGTGCGGTTTTGTCATGAAAAGTGTAACATTCTCTTCTATTTCTGAGTTTGTTGCTTTGTTTTTCAGCTGAGGAGAATGACAGATTTCAGAAGGGTAAAATAACATTTTTATTCTACTTTGCATTTAGTACCACACACTCTTCTTTTAATCACACCCCGCAAGATGCTTTGCAGGTGACCATTCTAGAAAAATAGTGGTGATTTTGAATACTAGATTTGGAAACTCTCTCAGAACTTCACAATCGCAAAGATTTACTCGTCTATTCCAACCAAAAAGATAATTGAGAAGTTGTGTTATGAGTATGTGTACAACGTCTCTCTCTTTTTATCTATAGGTATAAATCTACATATCTATAAATAGCAAACATATCTATAAATAAAGAATATATAGATATTTAGATCTCTTTTTTTTATAGAATTATAAAGTTGTTTTACCACTGCTAGAAAATATTTGAGTGGAACATATTATTTATTGCATCTCAGAACAAAATAACGACTAAAGGATCTGATAACAGCATTAAAAAAATATAATGGGAAAAATTCAAGTGCAATTCCTCCCAATCATTGAGAATAAAAGAGTTCTCAAAACATAACCGTGACGAGCTATGTCCCCAAGTGAAGTTAAGATCCATAAATAGGGTAACATCAGGTTTTATTTGTGTACAAGAGACAAATACAATCTCAAGCTTTGTGTTATTGAGAGAGGTTTTACTCTCCTTCTCCTGTCATAAAATCATAGAATCATTTAGGTTGGAAAAGCCCTTTAAGGTCATCAAGTCCAACCTTTACCCTAACCCTTCCATCCCACCACTAAACCTGTCCCTAACCACCTTGTCTGCCCGGCTTTTAAATCCCTCCAGGGATGGTGACTAGACCCCTTACCTGGGCAGCCCCTTCCAGTGCTTGATAACCCTCTCAGTGAAAAAATTTTTCCTAATGTTTAACCTAAACCTGCCCTGGTGCAACTTCAGACCTTTTCGCCTCGTCCCATCGCCCGTTCCCTGGGAGCAGAGTCCGACCCACCCCAGCTTCCCTCTCCTGTCAGGCAGTTGTAGGGAGCGATAAGGTCTCCCTTCAGCCTCCTCTTCTCCAGACTAAACAACTCATGTTCCCTCAGCTGCTCCCCATCAGCTTTGGGCTCCAGACCCCTCCCCAGCTTTGTTGCTCTCCTCTGGACGTGTTCCAGCAACGCAACATGTTTCTTGTAGTGAGGGGCCCTAATGATCCTTGGGAGTTATTTGTTCTGAATCAGTCCCTGTTTGTTTCTGCTATTTTCCTTTTTTTTATTTTGTCATGCCTCCTATTCAGGAATGTTTGTGCAATACATTATTTAATACCAGAGAAAAGTTATATAATGTATGTCTATTATTCTACAATGATAAACATATTAATCCTGTATATATTAATATATATAAACACGTTTATAATCAGATTAATCCTATATATATAGATAACCTATATATCAGTATTCCAAAATGCATAGTGAGTGTACCATAATTTACCTGATTTAGTCATCCTAACTTTTAATTTGATTTTGGTTTTTTGTAGAAAATCAGGATATTTTGTCCGAAATTGGTAAGGATATTAAGTTAACTTTGCTCCTTAAAAATAATTTAAATTATTTGTGATTAGAAATGCCATTTTGGAACTGAACTGTGCCACTGTTTGAGGGCTATTGCAGCACTTCATTCTCTTCCACACTTAAACGTTGTTGTGCCTAAGAAACAGTGTTTATTTGACACAATCGTGGACTCCTGAATGTCTGTTTCCATAACAAGGGAACATCATTTCAGTTCTTTAAGGGTTTAATTTTTGCTGGAGCTGAGTAGAAAACAGATTTTCCTTCCTACTAACAAATTGATATTTCAGAAAGAAAGAAAAAAATATATATATATACACTTTTATATACATTTTAACTGTTGTCCATGTGAAGCTCCTGTTTGTCATCTGATGGGGTCTGAAAGCATGGCCATAGGTGTTCTATGTACCTGCAGGTGATTCAGCTCGCCTAACTAGTTATCTAAATTTTGGGCCCTGAGGCTAAAGCAGTCTTCTTGGCTCCCTTGTTGAGAGATGAAGGCATCCAAGAGTAGTTTCAGATAGGTAGAAACAGCAGAGGAGAAATATTTTCTGATGCGCCCTTCTCTTCCTCCTGACTCTACACAGAGCCCAGGCCACTAGCTTGGGTTTAGATAGCTTCTAGCCCTCCAAAGTTAAGCTAGGATCATTTCCCAAAACCTAGGCCAGGTCATACTTAAGTAATGTAGTATTGGAAATACTCTTTAGCACAGATACCCTGCAGAAGAGCCTCACCATGCATGAAGATAACATAACTTTCTGTCCTTTTCAGAAAAAATCTCGAACGAACTGGGTGAGTTAAAAGCTGAAAACTAACTTTATCAAATCTACACCCCTCCAATCTGATACTGTATTAAAACTAGGTATAGCAACATTCTGTAGTAATTTTAAGTAATCATTCATTTCTTTTCTTGCAGACTTCAGGAAAGCTCGCAGAAATGCAGGTAAGCCAAGCCTCACCTCCCATTAACTTCATGTTCTTTCAGGCATATACCAAAGTCTATCCCTTGTGTTATGAGAAGCTCAGAGGTTGCCAGAATTTGAGAAAATTTTACAACCTGCTGGTAGAAACAGCATCCAGGTTTTCTTAGGCATCTCCCATCTACATGATTCTTGGTGTCATGAGGTGGGGTGAATAATTTCTGTACCAACTAGGACCTTTTTACATATTATTACATTCAGCTCTTTATTTATTCAAAAAAAATTTGGCTGCCAGGTGGGTCTGACGAGAGAGCCTGGATCTCCTCAGTCAGAGCAAAAATTAATAATGGCACAGTGAAGTCAAAGAACAGGCATGCCCTGCTGGGTATAATTTCTGCTATTGAGTTTTTGTCTGACAGAAGCACACTGTGTATTCCGGGGGTATTATTTTATTTTATTTTATTTTATTTTATTTTATTTTATTTTATTTTATTTTATAATTTCTCTCCTTTATTATCTTCCTTTAAGGTTACTCTTTATTTTCCTGAAAATCAGAAATAACTTGCTGCTTTGTATTTTTTTTTTCTCCTTCCTTTCTCAAGTTAATATCACACTGGATGAGAACTGCAAACATCCCAGCCTCATCATTAAGGAGAAAAACAAGGTCAAGTCCACCACCCAGGAAGAGATCCCACCCAAAGCAGTGGTGGTAGCTACTAAAGGGTTTTCAGAAAAGCTACATTACTGGGAAGTGGAGGTGGGGGACAAATCAGAGTGGGAGCTGGGTGTCGTGTGTGAGGAAATTAGAAATGCACTGAGGAGCAACACGAGGAATACTTTCCCAAAGGGTAATTTACTCAGTCTGCGGTTTTCTCAGGGAGAATACAGCTTAAGTGATGGGAAGAGTGTAAGAAATTCCAAGCCCTGCAGCGTGGTAGGCGTTTTCCTGGATCAGGAACATGCCACCCTTTCATTCTTTGATGCTGAAGAAAAGTCTTCTCTTGAGTGTCTCTCTTTTGAGTTTTCTGGGACTCTGTACCCATTCTTCAGTCCAGGCTCTGATGGCAAATGGTTGGGAGTACGCCCTGTACATGCTTAAAACACATTAATCTGTGTCAACCTTCCACAGGGCCAGAAGGAGATTAATAAATTAATGATGTAGTGAATCGCAGAGGATATGAAAGCAGAGAGGAAGGGAAAAAAAAAAGTATACCAGCTTTTAAAACCATAGTCAAGGAAGAAATAGTCTCTGAAGGACTTCTCAGGGATTTGTCTCGTACTAAGAACTAATTTTGTAAAAGCCTAGACCTGTCAAATGTTGCAATTTTATTTCATTTTCCCAGGACTAAAGAAATATGGATTTATTTCAGTATTTGTCGCATTTGTTCTGCATTCATTTTTAACTAATAAACCCATCAGAACAGTTTACCAGGAGGAGTATGGATGTAAATTTCAAATTTTGTACAAAGTCAGAAAACTATTAATAATGATCGAATGGTGAACTATGAAATGAAAGTAGACTTTTTGGAGGTTGGCTTAGAAGAGGTGTTAAGTGATAAGGCTGAAATCCACAGATCACATACTCAATGTGATAAAACTCAGGAACAGTTGCTTATGTGTAAACAGTTGGTTAAGTAGTTTGACGTATGAATGGGAGTCAAGAGTTAGCTTCAGCTGACCAATGTGGAAGCCTAAGGTGATCTGAGCTGCCACAGGGCTATCATAGCGTGGGGGTTACGGGATTCTCAGACCCTCCTGAAGCAGCAGCTGAAGATGAGGGAAGACATGACATGGCATCTCAAGTGGCAATAGATGTCTGTTTTCAGACAAGTGAATGATATCTGGGACCTGGGAGTCCTGGTGGATGACAAGCTGACCATGACCTAGCAGTGTGCCCTTGTTGCCAAGAAGGCCAATGGCATCTTGGGGTGCATTAAGAGGAGTGTGGCCAGCAGGGCAAGGGAGGTTATCCGCCCACTCTACTCTGCCCCACTGAGACCACATCTGGAGCACTGCATCCAGTTCTGGGCTGCCCTGTTCAAGAAGGATGAGGAACTACTGAAGAGAGTCCAGAGGAGGGTTACAAAGATGATGAGGGGACTGGAGCATTTGTCCCACGAGGAAAGGCTGAGAGAGCTGCGCTTGTTTAGCCTGAAGAAGAGAAGGCTGAGAGGGGATCTCATCAACACAATTTTATTTTATTTTATTTTATTTTATTTTATTTTATTTTATAATTTCTCTCCTTTATTATCTTCCTTTAAGGTTACTCTTTATTTTCCTGAAAATCAGAAATAACTTGCTGCTTTGTATTTTTTTTTCTCCTTCCTTTCTCAAGTTAATATCACACTGGATGAGAACTGCAAACATCCCAGCCTCATCATTAAGGAGAAAAACAAGGTCAAGTCCACCACCCAGGAAGAGATCCCACCCAAAGCAGTGGTGGTAGCTACTAAAGGGTTTTCAGAAAAGCTACATTACTGGGAAGTGGAGGTGGGGGACAAATCAGAGTGGGAGCTGGGTGTCGTGTGTGAGGAAATTAGAAATGCACTGAGGAGCAACACGAGGAATACTTTCCCAAAGGGTAATTTACTCAGTCTGCGGTTTTCTCAGGGAGAATACAGCTTAAGTGATGGGAAGAGTGTAAGAAATTCCAAGCCCTGCAGCGTGGTAGGCGTTTTCCTGGATCAGGAACATGCCACCCTTTCATTCTTTGATGCTGAAGAAAAGTCCTCTCTTGAGTGTCTCTCTTTTGAGTTTTCTGGGACTCTGTACCCATTCTTCAGTCCAGGCTCTGATGGCAAATGGTTGGGAGTACGCCCTGTACATGCTTAAAACACATTAATCTGTGTCAACCTTCCACAGGGCCAGAAGGAGATTAATAAATTAATGATGTAGTGAATCGCAGAGGATATGAAAGCAGAGAGGAAGGGAAAAAAAAAAGAAAACCAGCTTTTAAAACCATAGTCAAGGAAGAAATAGTCTCTGAAGGACTTCTCAGGGATTTGTCTCGTACTAAGAACTAATTTTGTAAAAGCCTAGACCTGTCAAATGTTGCAATTTTATTTCATTTTCCCAGGACTAAAGAAATATGGATTTATTTCAGTATTTGTCGCATTTGTTCTGCATTCATTTTTAACTAATAAACCCATCAGAACAGTTTACCAGGAGGAGTATGGATGTAAATTTCAAATTTTGTACAAAGTCAGAAAACTATTAATAATGATCGAATGGTGAACTATGAAATGAAAGTAGACTTTTTGGAGGTTGGCTTAGAAGAGGTGTTAAGTGATAAGGCTGAAATCCACAGATCACATACTCAATGTGATAAAACTCAGGAACAGTTGCTTATGTGTAAACAGTTGGTTAAGTAGTTTGACGTATGAATGGGAGTCAAGAGTTAGCTTCAGCTGACCAATGTGGAAGCCTAAGGTGATCTGAGCTGCCACAGGGCTATCATAGCGTGGGGTTTACGGGATTCTCAGACCCTCCTGAAGCAGCAGCTGAAGATGAGGGAAGACATGACATGGCATCTCAAGTGGCAATAGATGTCTGTTTTCAGACAAGTGAATGATATCTGGGACCTGGGAGTCCTGGTGGATGACAAGCTGACCATGAGCTAGCAGTGTGCCCTTGTTGCCAAGAAGGCCAATGGCATCTTGGGGTGCATTAAGAGGAGTGTGGCCAGCAGGGCAAGGGAGGTTATCCGCCCACTCTACTCTGCCCCACTGAGACCACATCTGGAGCACTGCATCCAGTTCTGGGCTGCCCTGTTCAAGAAGGATGAGGAACTACTGAAGAGAGTCCAGAGGAGGGTTACAAAGATGATGAGGGGACTGGAGCATTTGTCCCACGAGGAAAGGCTGAGAGAGCTGCGCTTGTTTAGCCTGAAGAAGAGAAGGCTGAGAGGGGATCTCATCAACACATGCAAATATCTGAAGGGTGGGTGTCACGAGGACGGAGCCAGACTCAGTGGTGCCCAGCACCAGGACAAGGGGACATGGGCACAAACTGAAGCAGAAGAGGTTCCACTTGAACATGAGGAAGAACTTGTTGACTTTGAGGGTGCCCGAGCCCTGGCCCAGGCTGCCCAGGGGGGCTGTGGAGTCTCCTTCTCTGGAGATATTCAACCCCCTCCTGGACGCTGTCCTGTGCCCCCTGCTGTGGGTGACCTTGCATGAGCAGGGGGGTGGGATGGGTGAGCTCCTAAGGTCCCTTCCAACCCTTGCCATTCTGTGATTCTGTGATATCCTATTCTCTTCTGTCTGTAACTGGAGCATAAAACTTATGCTGACATGTAAGCAGAGTGGGGGGTTGACCTTGGCTGGCCGCCTAGTGCCCCTCCTCAGCTGGACAGAGGGAAAAAATATGACAGAAGGCTTGTGGGTCAAGATAAGGACAGGAGGATCACTCAGCTAATACTCTCACAGGCAAAGCAGACTCAACTTGGGGAAATTAATTCAATTTATTATCAATGAAATCAGAGTAGAATAATTAGAAACAAAACCAAATCTTAGAAAGCACCTTCACCCCACCGTTCCCCTCTTCCCGGCCTGCACCACACTCCTGACTTCTCTACCTTCTCCCCTGGAGCACTGCACGGGGTTAGGGATTGGCAGTCGAGGTCAATTCATAATGCACTGTCTCTGCCACTCTCTCCTCACACTATTCTCCTGCTCCAGTCCTCCACGAACTTCTCCAGAGTGGGTCCTTCCCACAGGCTGCAGTTCTTCACAAGCTGCTCTAGTGTGGGTCCTTTCCAGGGGGTGCAGTCCTTCAGGAATGGACTGCTCCAAAGTGGATCCCCCAGGGGGTCACAAGTCCTGCCAGCAAACATGCTCCACCCTGTGATTCTCTTCACAGGGTTACAGGTCCTGATAGGAGCCTGCTCCAGCATGGGCTCTCCACTCGGTCACAGCCTTCTTTGGGTGCATCCACCTGCTCCAGCGTGGGGTCCTCCCTGGGCGGCAGGTGGAGATCTGCTCCACCGTAGACTTCTATGGGCTGCAGGGGGACAGCCTGCCTCACCATGGTCTTCTCCACAGGCTGCAGGGAAATCTCTGCTCTGGCACGTGGAATTTCTCCTCCCGCTCCTTCTTCACTGAACTTGGTGTCTGCAATGTTGTTTCTCACATTTTCTCACTCTTTCTCTCAGCTGCTGTTGCACAGCACTTTTTTTAACCTTTCTTAAATGTTATCACAGATGTGCTACCAACGTCGCTGATGGGCTCAGCTTTGGCCAGTGCTAGGTCCATCTAGCAGGTGGCTGGAACTGGCTCTACTAGACATGGGGACACCTTCTGGCATCCTCTTACAGAAGCCACCCCTATAGCCCCCCCGCTACCAAAATCCCCTTTACAACTACCTGAAAGGAGGCTGTAGCAAGGTGGGGGTCAGTCTCTTCTCCCTGGTAGCGCACGATAGGATGAGGGGAAATGGCCTCAAGTTGTGCCAGGGCAGGGTTAGGTTGGACCTTAGGAGA